CTTTGAAGTTCCTTGCTATGAAATTGATCTGAGTTGCGGTAAGAAACCATGTGATGTGTGAAAATTGTCTCACCCCAATGCCTGTGCTTTTTTTTTTTTTTTTTTTTTTTTTTTTTTTTTTTTTTTTTCCCCTGCTCTCCTCTCCTCATATTACTGCTCTTTTCATCTGTGATCTTTATTTTGTACGCTGACAGAGGCCAGGATTTACACGCCTGGCTTGAAATACCCAGGAGTCCTTGTCAAGATCTACCTCAGAGCCAATCTGGTCTTAAAGGAGCAATTAAAATAAGTCCCATGATGTTTTTAACCAGAAGTCTTGCCACTGCTAAGCTGYCTGCTCTTTTGCTGGGGCATGTGCATTTCCTGTAATAAACATTTTAAAGAAAGGAAAGGAACACTCTGATAGCAACGCGATTACTTTTATAGTTTTAATTTACTCAGCCTAGACATGCCACCCGTTTCAATTTTAGCTTCGGTCAAAACAAGAAAAAAATCTGAAGCTGTTGAAATGGCATCAAACCACAAAYGACATAAAATAAGACTATTTCAATGTAGTATTTTATTATGTAAATTATATTTTATTATATATTGTATAATTTTTTCCAAAGAAGTTCCTAAGCAGTATTTTAATACCAAGGTTAAGTGGTAAGTAAATTTTGAAAGCAACAATCCTGTAGTTGCATCAATGAACATTGGTAGGAGTTAATTCTTATCTTTGTATCAGCCTTCAACATCCTCTGCCTCAGGGAAAAAATGTACTTTAGAAGTCAATAAAAAATGGACATCTTAGATCAGAGGAAAGTTCTAAGATGAATGCACAAGCAGTTAAGATACAGYTTTCCTTTTACCAAGTTCAGCACTTTTTTTTCAGCCTGTGCTTTTGTACCTTGTGTTATYGACTAATTCACTTAACAGTGACCCTTTACACCAGTGAGGCAACACATATCAATATTAAATATAATAGTTTTATGATGTTCTGCCTCTTGGGCAAGATGTTCCTGAGGATGAGATATTCCAGATAAATGTCTGATCTGTGGACCTTCAGGCCAAGTAGAGAGAGATAAGTAAGAGACATTATCCTCAATAATAATCAGACTGCCTCAGGAATTACTCTCAAAAAAAAAGTGCTCAGAAAGCATTCCTCATTGTATGCATGCAAGTGTCTTGAACCATTTAAACCCTCAGTAGTTCTTAAGACCCACCTTTCACATCTGGCTGCAATTCTCTGGATCTTCAAAATTCATTATGACACCTGAGCTATTTTAGCTCTGGTTTGGGTTGGAAGGGACCTTTAAAGGTCATTTAGTCCATCCTCCCTGCACTGAGCAGGGACACCTTCCAYTAGGTCAGGCTGCTCAGAGCCTGTTCAATCTGACTTTGAGTGTTTCCTGGGATGGGGCACCTATCTCCTCTCTGGGCATCCCATGCCAGTGTTTYGCCACCCACATAGTAAAGACTTTCTTCCTAATACCTAATCTAAATCATCCTTCTTTTAGTTTTGCCACCTTCCTGGTAGGCACCCTGTAGGTATCAGAGGTTACAACAAGGTCTTCCCAGAGTTTTTGTTTTTTTTTTTCAGGTTGAAAAACCCAGCTTTTCATCATAGGAGAGGCACTCCAGCCTCTKATTATCTTTCATGGCCCTTCTCTGGACTTGCTCCAGCAGGCCCATATCCTTCTCATGTGGGAGCGCGGGACACAGGGCTCCAGCTGGGGTCTCACCACTGAGTAGAGCAGACACTTACCATGCTTATTTTTTTGAGAGACAACAAGTAGTATGCTCATCATGTGAGAAAATACATAAACCTGAGAAAACCCAGCAGAAACGAGCATTACAAAATCATAAGGCAAAGCTTACTTGGATGGCATCAGGATGCTAAAACCAAATTAAATGGAAGCATCTGAGATTACCTCTGTTGTCAAAGCATGGTGCCAACAACAGCAAGGTCGTGGGTTTTATTACTTAAGAGCTGGACTTGATGATCCTTGTCAGGCTTTTCCAACTCGRGAAATTCAGTAATTTCTGTGATCTATGTGGTACCTCAGTTCCAGTATACTCCATCGGTGGAGTTATGCTGCCACCTATTGTGAGAATGAACCTGAGACTCATCATTTTGCTAGGCAACATGTTCGCAATAATTACCACTTATCTTTCTTTTTTTATTCTTAGTACTTTCTTCTGAAATATCTTCTACTGATCAATGCTGGTGAGAAGCTGCAAACGTAGATGGCCATTCAGCCTGACCAAATACAGGTCATATCAGATGATACGATATGATCGTATCAAATCATATCAAATATTGACCATTATCAGATACATTCTGATCTCTAATTTACTGCAACACAGAGTTTAATTTGTCTCTGTCTGCTGCTGTCARCTCAAAAGCTGGTCTGGAATGAGAACCCTGTTTCTCTGCTCCAATCAGTGGCTGAGGAATGCATCCATGGGCAGAAAGGCAATGTGCTCCCCCTGCCATAATGCTCCAATATGTGCTTTTCCTTCTTCCCTCACGCTATGAGCACAGGACTGGACCCTCTTACARAAAACTGAGACAGCACTTGAGCTATAAACTCATGACTGTGCCTTTAGGACACCTTCCCCCAAACACAAGGGCAGCCCACATGGCCTTTATACATATTGTGTCCAACAGCCAGTTACCAGCCGTGARCAGAAAGCTGTTGCCTAAAACTGCTTTTTTTGTGTGCACAGAATTTAGGCAAAGTTATTTCAGGAGAGCAGCCTCAGGAGGCTCGGGCCAGCACACCTCCAGAGGCTCACACCATGAGCAAAGCTGAAACAAACTACAAATGGTTTGTACACCATTGTATACCAAATACTACTTCCACCTCTCTAAAACCGAAGTAGCTTGGCACCGGTCCACTCTGCAGTTCTCAGTGTACCTTTCCCCACCTTTTTACCTCCCCTCCACCTTGCTACAACACATACACGCTCTGCTCTTTCACCTCTCCAGTAGTATCAGCTTAAGCCAAAACCTAGRCCATACCTGACACCTTAATGTCTCTTAGCTGAGAAAATGAGGCCAGTCTGCACAGCCACARGAAGCAGTGTGCATCATCGCACTCCTCCATGCTCCCTCTTTCCTATCCTTCCCATGGTTGCCTCATTATTCAGTTTTCTTSCAGCTTTAGGAACCAAATGGTTCCAATCAACAGCAGCTTTGCAAACCAGGAGCAGTGCTGTTCTCAGGAGCCACTCCTGCCCAACTTGGATAGCTGCTCAGGCCAACCAGCTAGAGGGATTTTCTCATTCATCTTTCAGGCATTCAGCAGCTTCCAGGACATTCAGTGGGAGAGAGAATCTCTGGAGCTGCAGCTGGAGTGAAACCCGATTGCACAGGCAGCAGTGGTGCAGCCAGAGAGGACAGTCAGGTACAAGGGCTGTCAGGTCTCCAGCAAAACAAGCGCCACAASAATGAGGTGTTTCTGCTGTTTGCTGTGCCACAGTGTATGTATTTTTACATTTGTGAATTGAACCCAGCCAGGATCTGTCAAAATCAGGGCTGCTTTCAGCACAGAGCAACGAGTGTAYCAGCAACTCAAGAGGGCACTCTAAGTAGCAGATGGCATTTTCAGAGTAGTATCACAATTTACAGACTCCTTGGACAGGTGTTTGCACTCCCTGTGTCCAGGGAAGGGACACAGGGCACTTGAAGTGATGGAAGCTGTGTGATGGTGTCTGTGTGACTCCTGGGTTCAATACCCCATCACAATTAAGGGAATTGCCTRAAAAAGAGAGGTTTTGTTCATGGACAACTTTGGGCCTCTTCATCACCTTAGCTGTTTTCTCCAGAAGTAGGTTGTTCTGGRGAGTAAGCTGGGATAAAAATCCACCATAGTCTGTGGTCCTTGGCTCCATAGATAAGCTGCAGCTAAGCAGTAGGAAYTCAAAGCAGTGTCTTTACAGTAGAGTGAGATTAGAGTCCTCTTCCCAAGTACAACCCAAGCACATCCAGATGCTGCATTCCTATCAGACTCTTCAATTGGCCTGCAATCCGCTTCTAAGCTTCTTCCCTTCTCCCAGCAACTCCTGTTGCCCTTCCATCTATTTTAGAAATAGAAAATCTCACTTTCTGGCCATTACATGAAAAGGACATCATTTGCATGGCAGTAAAAATAAYAAGCATGTTTAACCTGGCTTTTTGCCCAAATCCAGAAGCCATCAGGTTAAGATAGGCTTAACTGTTTTGAAAGAGCTGAGTTCCAAGTCCTGGATCATCATACAAGGATGACCTGTTTCTACCAAGAGATCTACTATATCTTAAAGGAGTTTAAATCAAGATACAGTAGCTTGACTTTAGACACAAGACTGACCTCAGTTCAAGTCAAATACTYTTGGCTTTGTTTCAAAAATGACAAATTCTAACCAAAATGGTGGCTTGCCAAAACCTTCCATGATTCCATCCCTACACCCAGCAGCAGTGATTCATCATTATTAGTAATAAAGGACAGTACATGCACACAGGTACGTTTTTTTCTTTTTTTTTTATTGCTGTTAATTCAAGGAAAAAGGTTGCATAAAATCCAATCTCTTCTAGAAATATAAGTGACCTTTCCAGTACATTTCAAATATCAAAGTATATGGTAAACATACAAATAAAGAGAAGGTAACATACCTCCTATTTACAGTACAGTATTTTAAATCATAAAATAAGTTCCATAAAGTACAACTGGCAGGTAATTCACAATACAAGTCCATTGGTGGTTTAACACCCTCACTTCAACTCAAACGCAGTTCAGTCATTTCAAGTGGTCCAAAAATACCCAGATCAAATAAAAATTTTAATCAAAATAATTTTCATTTACTACTTATACTTTTTTTTTTTTTTTAAATTAAAGCTTTCATCTACCTCCCTCCCCATTCCCCCCCTCCAAGAAAAAAGTTTCAAAATGTACACTGGTGCTATAAATATAAATGCTACCTATGAAGAAATGTAGTAATCAAGCTTTTTTCTTTTTTTTTTTCTTCAAGTTTTTTGTTTGTTTAGCAATTTATTAGATGGCGGAACCAAAGGTTGATTTTTATTTCATCCCTCTACTGGACACTGGGTCTGATTTTAAGAAAAAACATTTCTGCCATGAACTGTGAGGAATGCCAAACCCTATGGATATACAGTGGTAGTTGTTCATCGGTGTTGAATGCAGCAGTCAAAAAACACACTCGTCTTCCAGATAACCTCAGTGCACTTTAGGAAATCAAATATTACCTGGAAGCAATTTAGTACATATATTGGCTTTTAAAAATAAAATAAAAAATACAGCAGCATTAAACTTACTTACTCATGATACTGACATGTTTAATACCATCTTAACACTCATTTCAGTCTTTCACATTATACCATAATTACGCATAGTGGTAAATTGTTATAAAATAGTGACTTTTCTATTTGGTAGACAGGTTCTAATACTAATACCTGACTATTTTGTAGAAAACCATAGCTTTTGTTCAGTTTGAAATAAAACATTTACATTCTAAGTACAATGCAACACTGTAATAGTTTAGGAAAAAAATATTCAATCAAGTAATGTTCATTCTGTGTTGACACGATGTAGAATAGCTTTAAAAAAGGAAAAAATGCTGTCAACTTTCATTACAAATGCAAACACACTGAGTACGACATTCATACCATTTTTTTCACCTTTGTTGCTGAACATACAGGCTAAAAAGCTACAAGGGAAGAAAAAATCTGTCAATTTAAGCTCTTTCATTTTTCTAGACCTGTTCCAGTCCACACAGTTTCAGCTCCTTCCTGCTCTATGTATTTTCATTTGTTTGGGCCTCTTGAGAGCTGCGTATCTATTATTATCAGGTATAGTACACATACAGTATTATTGTGTTTTCCTTTGGACTCTGCTAATAGGATGTTTGAACATGTCCCCTCAATTCAGGAGCATTAAATTTAGATTACGGGTAGGGTCTGTATGAACTGCTAAACACTCATGCAAGTCCAATGAATTCATGTGGACAACCAGGGAATGAAAAGAAAACAGCAGCATAAGGAGAACAGGGAGGGAGGGAAGGAKATTGTGGTGGGGAACATGACCAAGCTTCTTCTTTCACCATATGACTGCTCCACCAGTGATGTCAGAGGTCAGAGGATTTTTTTTTTAAACTGCAGTAAACATTGCACATGTCTCAAGTCTTCAGTGCAAAAGCATGGTTCGAATGCTCTGATTGTTTGGCTGTGTGTGTGAATTACATGCATTACGCAAGCCTCTTGTAGAACCAGGAGGAGACCAGGGACTCAGCTTTCTTCTTTTGTATGGAACAGAGGTGCAAAAGCAATGAAAAATTCCAAAAGAATATAAAACCGGGAATGTCCCAAAACACCAGACCAACCTCCCCCTCCCACACACACCTTCCCCCAGTTTCCCAAGCTTCACTTTAAGTAGGCAATGTTTACTTGTTTCAGTCTGCAGAATCCAAGGTATCATTGGAAGGGGGAGGGGGAGGTGCGTATCTCAGTCTGTAAGTGCCTAAAACAGGAAAGAGAACTACTAAGTCACTGCTCACAATTAAAATGGATTACAAAACCACTACAAGGTATCAAAATGGACATGCTCTTCAAAAGGCACTATCATCCTCCAGTCCTTTTAAAGTAGGTCCTCAGACCTTAGCCTATTTTCTTTCATCCTCTTGATAAAATTCTAAGTTTAAAAAAAGACACAGAGTGTAGATAAAGGACTTGAGCTTACTGGAAAAATATAAAGAAAAGATGGTCCCCATCAAGGTTCATCTTTCCTGTTCCAGTCCAATCAAACTACTAAAGTCAGAATGGAAACAAGGGCAAGAATTAAAAAKAGCTTATACTCGATGCAAACCCTGCATTTTCCCCATTCTTCTGGACGGAGAGAGAAATGTTCCTTTGATATTTAGTTCCAATCGATTTCTGCCTTTTTGCTGCAACTTGTCTGAAAAGTTAAATGTATTGTATGATGGGGCACAGAACGATGGCTGATTGTGCAAAGGTAAGCCCTAGAAAACTTAAAATATCAAATGGCCAGTCTATTTTTCAATTCTCAGAAGCTTTTCAGATTTTACTTTCAATTCTCAGAAGCTTTAGGAATCCAAGGTCATATCACAGACAGCAATTGATATCTTTCACTTTTTGCAGAAGAATTTTCTCAAAAAACACCCCACTGAATTGGAATGGGAAAACTGAAACAACATGCAAGTCTCAACATAATGCCAAAAAGAAACCAATGAAAAAAGAATGGCAATTAGGACTGGTATCATTTGACTTTCCAGATCTGAATCATACCCATTTTCACACTGCGAACCCCGTTCCCTCGCACTGTTCTACAAGATTTTCAGGCAGAGATAGGATACTTTGCAGTTTTAGAGCAGGTCACTAGTGCACAACCATTTACACAAAACATACACACGCACGCACACCTTTCTGCAAGACCAGAAACAGCACATTCAGAAAGGTAAAGAGAAACTGCTAAACTCAAAAGCAAGTCCGCTGGGAGTTATCATGATTACCTTGTTGACTGGCCTCCATGGATGACTGCTTACAGTCCTGCGCATAGTGTCCACTTACACCACAATTGTAACATGAAACGTTCCCATTCTTCTTGGGTCCTGACCCATTTGTGTTGGCAACTACGTTAGGTGCTGGATATACAGGATAGAACCTCCCAAACCCTGCCATCTGCTGCATACCATAGTTGGCTTGGCTCCCCATCACTGGGTCATGCATAAGCCCGTTTGCATACGGAGATTGAGGCAGGAAGAACGGAAGTTGTGTTCCATTGCTTTGATGTGCTTGATTGAGGTAGCTGCCATTGCAAAGTGATGGCAGAGTGAAGAAAGATGGAACTCTGTAGACTTGTCCATGAAGTGGGTTATGATAAAAATAGCTATTAATCTGAAGGCTGCCATTGGTCCCACAGCTACACCTACGTCCACAAGAACCACAAGGGCCAGATCCCAACTGCTGCGGAGGTAACATTGTCCCGTTAGTGTTATTATTCCCAACAGCATTTATGTAGGATGTGCTGTCACTCTGTGCAGTGCTGTGTGTTAGAGCGGGGCTCGGGCTGGGGGCAGGGCCTGGCGTGTGTGTCGGTATTGCAGGAGGAACAGTGGACTGGACCTGACCGACACCGAGGCCAGCGGACTGAGGTGGTGAGGAAGTGGCTCCAGTGCTCAACACGTTTGTGTTCTGGTTGGGCAACACACTGGAAGCGTGAGGGCTGCCTGGCAAAGCGTACGAAGCTGGTGGAGGTGGAGGTGCTGCTGTGGAGAGGCCAGCTGCTGGAAGAACTACCTTGAGATTGGTAGGCTGAGGGATTGCTCCTGGGTTTCCCTCAATGTGAGGCACCATTTGATTCAGTCCTACCACCTGGGATGCAGGTTTTGTGATGGGATCTGTAGTAGGAACTGGGGATCCTGGGAAACTACCTGGATTGTGGACTGGGATAAAGGCAGTATTTGGTGATCCAATACTTAAGTTTCCTGTTGGCTGCTGTGGTCCATTAACTGTGCAACTTTCCGATGATCCCTGTGGAGAGGGGATTTTCAACCTATGTATTGCCAAATGCAAAGCAGGGCTACCAGGCTGGACAGAATGCGGAAGGAAAGAGGATGGGACTGGCAAAGGGGAAGCCATCAGCTCAAGGCGTTTCTCAGGTTCACCAGAGGTCACTGGGCCCAATCCCGCAGGAGGGGAATTTGCAGACTCTCTCACTGGCGAGACAGCGACAGGGGTGGTAACCAGCATTCCCATGGTTTTACCATCTGCAGATATGGGTGGCGGGACAACTGCTTCAGGCTTTTGGGCAGCGCTGTGCATCACACAGTGTAAGGCAGGCATGAAGGAAATATGCTGAAACTTCGCATTCAAAGGATCTTCTGAAAGAGTCCCATTTTCATTATTCACTGAAGAGATCTGAGCAGATGGTTTGTTCACGTTTGATGAACTGACAGCACTGTAGCCTGTAAACCTGGTTGTATTTTGATTCCCAGAGTCCTCAGAATTGCTGTCTGTATCTGTGGGGACAAAAGCATTTGTCAGTCAGAAGAAGGAATCTCAAGAATCATGCCCAGGACTCATTTAACACYTATCGAGTTTGAGGACATGAATGATAGTTATGTCTTCCCAAGCTGCGACAACTTTGAGATTCTTTTCATTCATCCAAATTAAGTTGGGTCCATGTTCCTGACTTGCCTGTATCCACCTGCCCAACAAGATACTGTGTCTTTGACTTGGGTATATCTGCAAATCTGAAGAGTAGGGCACAGAYTGAATTAGGAATTTGCATCTGTCTACAAAGACATTAATGCAGCTTATTTAAATTTGGAAGGAGTAGCAAACTATCAGAACAAAAAGATGGAGCTCTGGGACATGCCATACATAATCTGATATAAACCCAGCCCCTTTCATGCCAAAGTTTCCCACATTATTGTACTGTGGAAAATTCTCAAGATAGCTATACCACCGAGGCCAAAAGATTACTACATATACGTTTAATAACCTAAAACTCAGTGGTATTTAAACAGTGCCAGAGGCCCTCAAACTGCCCACTCATGAAGCCCACAGGGCAAAACATATTCTGTGGCTAGTTCAGAAAAAAAAGTAGCWAATCAAACTGAAAAGCTAATTAAAATAAATGCAAGAAAGAGATTAGTTTAGGAATAAAAGCATTCATGCACACTCTCCATAAATACAACCTCTGTCTTTTTCTTCTTCACTATCAAAGCTTTCCCTCCCATCATGTCGTGGACTAGAAGGAGAACTGTAACTTTCAGATGATGTTTCTCCACAGGTATCATGACCAGATCCAGCGTCCAAATTCAGATCTAAAAATAAAAGTTGTCAGTTTAATTTTTGATCTTAGTGTATGGAAGTGAGGTTGTTTTGGTTTGCTGACATCTCACACTAGTTGAGATTTTTGTCTGTTCCTTCTTAATTGCATCTGTCCCCTCTATTCCTATCACTTCCACTCCCAGCACTCAGGATTGGTCTCGTCGTGATGACCGAATCCTTGGTGTTAAAATATGCGACAGTGAAAATTGATATTCAATCAAAGTAGTGAAAATAATGATGATCCTTAATGTTTGTGATGTTTACACAAGACTGTACTACAACACTAATCTCCTCTGAATGGTAGGCAATCCAACATTCCCGTTGGCAGAGCTGCAGTGCTCTTTGGTGACACYAGCACAGGCAGAAAGCTAACTCAGCGGGACACGTCAAAACAATGCACCACTTCACAACTCACTCTTCTAGAACAGGCTTTAACCAAACTCCATCAACAAATCCTGTTTAAAGAAAAAGAGGTGAAMCGAAAAAATGGTAAATTGTTTTGTAAATTCTGAATGGATCACAGGACACTTGTTTACTGGAAACCAGCTTTCAGGATGGATAGCTACTATAGTTTGGCTTTCAAGTTCAGCCTCAGAAGGGAAGAAGAATGACAAATTCACCCCCTCTCAGAATCTGATTGGGCAACAATGACAGACACTAGCTGGAACCCCCAGCCCCCAAAACCTTGGTTAGCAAAACTACAGGACAAAAATTAGAACAGTAATTATAATTATAATAATAATTAATAAATAAAATAATTTTTCCCATTTTAATTTTATTTTTCCCATTTTTAAACTGAAAGTTTAATAGGTTGGGATGGGWCATCAAAAAGCTGCTTTGATGCTTCAATTCTTGAAATAATCTCCTGGATTAAACCCATAATTGCTCAAATTCTTTTAACAAGTACTTTGAACATCTAATGTAACCTGGAGTCTCAGCGTGAACCTGGGATCACTGTGAGCTAAAGCGCTAGTCACAAAGTATCAAGTCTTAAAAGTTACCACTGTAACTAATGGATGCCTCAGACAAGCTCAAAACAGGGGACGAAAAAATGAAACAAAACATCATGCAGATTAAGAATTACAGACTCAAATTAGGGCATTTCAAACCAAAACCTAGGCAGAGATTCAGACTGCTACATTATGTTTTTTTTCCCTAGACTGTGTCTCCAATAAGTATCTCACATGACATTCTGATGTTTATACATGGATAGAAAGCTCATCTCTGAGCAGGACTTCCAGCCTCTGTGTGTCACAGCTTATTTTTGAACCAGTCGACAGTTACCAGGGGGCAGTTTCACATCTGTACTGTGGTGGGCAGTGAGCAACCAGAACTCCTTCGGAAAAGCACTCCCTATTAACTTTTCAAAATCAGAGAATCAACTACATTGTAAAAGACCTCTGAGATCATGAAGTGCAACCTATGACCTAACACCACCTTACCAACTAAACCATGGCACTGAGTGACACATCCAGTCTTTTTTTAAACACCTCCAGGGAGARTGACTCCATCACTTCCCTGGGTAGCCATTCCAATGCCCAACCACTCTTTCTGTGAAGAATGTTTTTTCTTATATMTAGCCTAAACTACACTTGGCACAGCTTAAGACTGTGTCYTCTCATCCTGTTGCTGGTTGCCTGGGAGAAGAGACTGAACTCCACCTGGCTGCAATCTCTTTTCAGGCAGCTGTAGAGAATGATAAGGTCTCCCCTTATGCACCACCTCCTAAAGACATCATCAGTTCATAAAAGCTCAGTGAACTTTACTTGACAACAAAAACAGTAATCAATCAGAAATGCACAAAAAACACTCTACAACAAAGCTCTGTTGTAGAGTGTTTTCTGCTTAACAGCCCTTAACTATAGCTTTCCAAAATTGTTCTGGTCTTGCTACGTTTGTGAACTGTGATTTCTTACAAGTTTTATTCAAATGTTGTAGAAGGTAAAAGCTTCTGTAAAACACGTCAATAATTCAGAATSGGATACAGCTGGAACTCTCCAAGGTAAGAAGCAATGAGAAGAATGAATGAAAGCTTAATCAAGATTGCATCACAAGTGAAAGCAACAAAAAGACGAGGTACTTTTCAATACTGATGCCAATTAGGTGGTGTAGAAAAAGGCAAACTCTTTATCAACCTTCTGTCATGAGTACTATATATAAGAGACAAGATTGCATCTGATACTGGGAATTTAGAAAACATCAAGATGGCAAAGTCAATGGGCAGCAYAGACCTTCAGGAATTTGTAATAAAGCTTGGAGACTCAATTTACTAAAGGAACACAAATAAAATTTTGTCTTATAACTGACAGACATACTCAAGTCTTGGCCTAGACACTACATTTTGCTGTATTGCCCTAACCTGAAAACCCTGCTAKGGCAGCATACACAGTTGTGTGTATGATCAATGGTCAGTCGGTTTAACACTACAGTTCATCAAGGTTCACACCAGAGMTTTTACACTGGTTCCTTGTGGGCGATTACACAACAGATTAAGTCAGTAGGCTACACAGAGAACACTAATGACAAGATGCTCCATCTCCAGACTCAGACTGCTAAATTTCACATAGAAATAAGCCAACAGTAGCTGTTTCTGCAACTACTACAGCCAGCTTATGGAAACTTCACTAGTATTGTGCCACCTGTGCATGAAGAGACACACCCCAAGCAATTGTATGCACAAGACTGAGTCCAGTGTGTTCTATACAGCAAGTCAAAGCACAAATTAGACTGCCAAAAATGTTGACTCGCACCAGAACATTTTTCTGACTCATGATTTTCCCTTTACAGAAGACGTTGAATAAATCTGCAAAGCTGCAAGRTCTGTTTCTTTCTAACATCTTCGGCAAAAACAGCTTACCTTTTGCTGTCCCAGTACGGATGTGCTGTGATGCTGCCACTCGAACACCATTGCTCCTGTTAGTCAACCTGCAGTCAGCTTTCTTTGCTTTCTCCCTGTGTAAATAATTTCATGGGTTTTTTTCAAAAGTATGAGCACAAATAACCAACCATGAATGAACATATAATGCCACTGGAAACAAAGCAGTGACTGCAGGCCAGAAATGTGTATTTAATAGATATAACAACAAATTTAGATAATAAATTAAATAGAGGCTGCTGATGCAATATACAAGGAGCTAAGATGCACGCAGTGTTACTAAACACTATTAATAAAGGCCTTTACAAGAAAAGACACAAAAAAGAAAATGTTGCAGCACTMAGTACAGTAATTTTTGAAAGCTGATGGGTGTATTGCAGCCCTACATCAGTCTAGCATAAAAGCATCTGGCTACAAAACAACAAAATTACAAACTTGGAAGCAGGCAGAGCATTAGATAAGGGTGGAAGRGCTTTCACTTCTCACAGTGCCGAGTTGTGTAGCCTGCAGGAAGTTCTGAAGCCCTCTGATATGCAAATTATCTTCAATAAAACATTTCAGCCAGCTACCACCACTATATAATRTTAAAGGTTGCTGTCAACCCTCACCTGATTATCAGTACATTCTGGGCAGCTTTACACCTTTCAACTTTCAAATAAATATAAAGGGAAATAGGCAATTTAGTATTGGTTAAGAAAATACTTCCATGCTGTCATCTTTTAGCTACATGACAAGTGATATTTTGAGAAACAAATGCATTCACTTACATTTATTTTTCAAGCTACTTCTTTACAGAATATAAAATAAGGATTTTTATGTAGCYTAGCCTCACACTATGCCAGCTCCTGTTCCACCATAGCAAATGAAAGCACCTAATTGCTTGCAGACTCTGTTTATCAGAGTGAATGCATTACACTTTGTTTCTGGATTACCAGTTACATTGGAAACCTACTTTTCCAGCTGTGGCTTTCCTTTCTTCTTGCTTACTGTAGACAGACTTCGCTTTTCCACTGTGTGCTAGACAGAAAATACAAAGACGCCAGTCAAACAACAGAATTTGTGTTAGGAAAGCCAAGAAAAAAAACCCCTTCTAGATCAACGGGTCCATGAGCCCAAGATTAGTGTGCTCACATGTGCTATAACCACCCAAACGACTCCTTTTTCAGGGCATCTGAGCCTGTAAAATAATGCATCTTGTTTTGTGTTTATCAGTATCAGCAAAACACTCAGCAAATTACTACTTGCAAATATGCCAGAGATATCAATCAAATTATTGTTTGCATGCTGTTTTTCCTTCAGAGGATAAAAACAAATGTGTTTCATCACATACCTGCTAAAAAGGGCAATCATCAGGCTTAAGGAGATACAAAATTTGTTGATATAAAAGGAATTATTTGATAGTTGGGGGTGAGATGCACATAGTGACAAGCAGGTACCTAGCCTTAAACTACAGATATAAGCTGCTAAACTAAACTCCAGAACACAACACAGAAGCACATAAGGAAAAAAATAGAATCTACACAATTCTTGAAGTATGCTATTACTAGCTGTTATTAGTAACTCATATTTGGCAAGCAAGTAAAATTTATTAAAACTCTGAAACAATCTCTGTGCAAATCACTGTATTTGGAATTCCTTTAAATATCTTTCCCCTTACTCTAGTAAATTAACTTTTTTCTTGCTTTAAGCTTGCAGTGTTTCAAGCTTTGATGCAGCCTACCATTTCATGTTTAGAAGCCAAKCTCAATTCATTACCCTGCTTTATGAAATAAGGAAACTATTTTTGTTTGGCTTGCTATTCCACACATTAACATCAACAGCCAAATTCTGAACATAAATAACAGTAATATTAAACAATTCTAACATTCAAGATTTTTCATATATAAGCAGTGAGATTTTCCCAAATTTCAGTAGTAGATAATTTTATTTATAAATAATTACTCTGCTAATTATTATCTATATTCACAATGAGATTGAGCACTGAAGAGACGACAATCTCACGAGAAGTGTATGCATCTACCTATTAACTTTTTTCAAATATTAATACTTAAATAATTCAGGTAGGATAGAAAGAATATGTTTAACCTGTCGAACATTAGCATTAATATAGTTTAGTTACTTATTATGTTTCTTTTGTTTGCTCCTCGCAGTAACAGAAATTGCCCAAACATTCTGGAATCCTTTCGATGACAACATTTCAGTAACAGGAAAGTGCCTGATTAGAAATCAACATTAGACTTTCCTGGTTACTTATATCTTACCGAGAAATTTTATTTACAAATTCATGAACAAAATATTCAGCTTTGTGAGACAGTGGTAAGGAATTATGAAGGGTTTCCTAACCAAGGTAAGTCAGTGGCCACTTCCAAGGTAATTCAGTAGCCACTTCAACATTTATTTCATACAATTTTAGGAGGGCTTTCCATCTTTTAAACCTAAATCTCAATATGTGTAATGTACAGTGTTTTCAAGTGTTTCACAGCATGGTTTGAAGAAAAAAATATTAACACACCTGTTCAAGTAGATTAGCACAGTGCTCTGGGTGCTGCTGGACAATACAGCTTTTCCTTCTCCAGTCCATTACCCCATTCTGCTCCGAGTGCTGTATGTTAAGGCTATCCAGTGAAGAACATTTTGCACTGCTAGTGCTGCTGAAAAGAAAAAAAGCCACAAAAGGTTATGCTGATGTGAACAAACCTGCAGGCTTTTCTTACTAACACACATGTTTTTCATCATGTTGGGAAATTTTGCTTTCAGAAAACCCTAGGAATTTTTAAGAGATTTAGAAGACATAAATTATAGCAGTTCTTGTGCTCTAAAGCTCTATGATCTGACCATAACTCGAGTTCTTTTTTCATCTGTCAGCCGCAATTTGGTGTAAAATTCAAACAACAGAATTTGTAGAAAACAGTARTTGAGGAAAGAGTTTCCTTGGATAGTTYTACACACAAAGACTTTATAATTTGCATCCTAGATGTGTGGAAATTTTCCAGATAGAAATGTATTCTGAATTCACATTCTTTCTCCCTTATCGTTAAACACAAAACTGGAATTACTTTGAAATCCCTATTTCAGAATTCATGAGATATTTAAGAAAAGGAGCACACAGYTACTACAGATCATGCTGGAGCTGTGTTTGTTTCAGTTTCAAAATATAATCTTGCTTTGCATTTTTACCTTCAGGAAYACTAGTTTTGAGTAGTGCTGCGAGAGGGGAGTTGCATTTGGCATTTACTTTGGACTTTAAAATTATTTCCACTGAAGCTTTGCTCTACAGCAGCCAGTCAGAAATATTTAACTAGGTCTGAGACCACTSGTCAACAAAAGCTGCTGGAAAGAGTCAGGACTCTGACAGAGTCAGTAGGACACAGGGCCCTATAACCTTTTCACGTCTCYTACAAAATCATGCTTTACTGCTGGCTGGATGCAAAAGAGAAAAAGAAAAAAGGAATTAACACTTCTAAACACGCTGATAATTGAAAGTGCCTTTTAATTCAGGGCTGTTGGCAAGCTGCTGTATGAAGGTTACTGCAATATGAAATGTTACTCAGTTCCCATGATGGCAGAAATCCAGCTCACTTGAAAGCACAAGATATGCTGAAGTTACAGTAGCTACTTACAAAATACCTCTGTAAGGGCTCAAACTACTTTAAAGATACACAATAGAATATTAAAAAAAATAAAAAAACAAAACCCTAAGAAAAGAACCCAAAAAGGTCCCAGAAGACAGATATAAGCCCCTAATGGCAAAGATAGAAGCAAGGTCACTTTAGAAACTTCTTCCAAGTGGAGGTAAATTATTTCACTGCCAAATCTGCAGTCACTTCATGGAAATTGTGATACTACTAAACATTTATTTTGTATCTCTGATCTCATTACTACTAGTAAATTTTTTGACTTTTCAAGAGTAAGGCTGCAATACTGCATGAAAACAAGAGGTAGACATATGCACACATACCACTGCTGTTTGAGGTGAACTGCTTGTGACTAAATAGCTTTATGCTTTGTGGAAAGGTCTGTCCCTCTCTTYCCTATCTGAAAGACAGATCCTAAACTACAGTCAGCCTTAGTATAATTCATTATACAATGAATAAGACCATTTCTTTATTAGTAACTATATGCTACTAAGTTTGGATCCTGCTCTGACAACTTCCTAGTGGACTGTATATCCATCAGTATAATCACAGATTTTGTCAAGATAACTCCTCTTGAAGAAATGTAAGTTGAAAGTAGGACAGTTAAAAGCCAAAACAGACACAACCACACTAAATTGTCTTGTGGTGACYTCACAAGAATTTCATCTGTAAAAGATCCGTGGACCTTCGCCAACACTGTTATGCCCTTGGTCTATTTTCTAATTACTGCAATTCCAGGTAAATTTTCACCACAAGATAAATACTTTTTACAGATAAATCRACACAGAACACAATTGTAAATCACAATAAATTCTGTATCCATTTTTTCCTCTTAATTAAGTTGAATTACTGCACAACTATGTGCAAACATATCCAAACATTTTAGTCAAAATACATTAATGAGTGAAATCATATTAGGAAATTCAGGGATCTAAAGTCATATATGAACTACTTTAATATGCTTAAGAACTGCTTCCACTTAAAAAGGACATAAACCAGCAAGGTRTGCATACATTTGCTGGCAGGCAAGGCAAAGAATGGATTACCTTCTCCTGTAAGATCTTCTTTGAAGCCACTTAAGCTTCAAATCAACAGCACTGGAAATCTTCAGTGTAAGCATGGGGTGTGTGCACACAGGAAAAATACATGCCATACACATTTATGCTACTCATCTTATAAACACAWATCAAAGCATCAAATAGTAAAGATTTACAAAATTTGAAAAAGAAGAGACATCCAAATGACCTAAACCTACAGATTTACAAAAAGGGTCTTCTGAACTATTTTTCTAATACAGATTAAGTTAACAACAACCTACCAAATAACAAAAAAATAYCAGAATCCCCCACCCCAAACAAACAAAAACCCCACAAACAAGCTTTAATCTAGAAGGACATATTCTCAAAGCTCTAACAAAYGGAAGTTCAGACATGTAACATGGTCACATTACATCCTAGTACCTACTTGGCAACAGGACTTTTTCCATTATGTTTCTTGTGAACTGCTGTGTGTTGCATTACATCTGGAAAGAAAAAYAAAGTATAACTTCAACAGCAATTCCCATTTAATCCTTTAGATCAATCCAGCAAAGTCATCTTTCTGTCAGTATCAAGCACAYAGCAAAAGACATCTTCATTAAACAAGCCAGACTTAATTTACAGTGCTGAAATTAGCAGATGTTGCCTAAAGGACGGATCAGCTTGTAATAGATKATATATAAACAGTACTCTTTACCTTCCATTTCACAGAAGAATGAAACAGAAAGAGAGGAACTATGACAATGTTAATGTTTGCTCACCTCTATATTTAATTCTAAGCACTGAATGCATGACTGAGTACCACCCAGTATGAAAGAATGGAGAGAAAAGACAGGAATCAGTCAGGAAAAAATACATATTGTAATTTGTTCTGAACTGCTGAAATTAATCTCARAATTGTCACACATTCTGAGTAGCAAATGAAGACAAGTCTTACACAAAAGTATTGCATTCTGAACCTCAAAATTGACCTTGCAAGTAAAGCTTTACAGATTACATCTGACAAAAAGAAATACTGCTCAAGGCCAGGCTGGATAGGGCTTCAAGTAAGTCAGCATAGTGGAAGGTTCCCTGCCTGCGGCAGGTGGTTTGGAACCAGATGATCTTTAAGGTTGCTTCCAACCCCAAACCACTCTAAGAGCCTAGAGAAGAAAAACTAAGCACTTCAGAGAMACAGTTTACCTTTTCCTTTAAGGCAACTGTTAAATTTTAAGAAAAGCAACTTTCCTTAATTTCAGCTATTGATGATTAAAGTATTCTTGGTAACTATGATTTTGCCTGAACTCCTCTCAATGCTACACATAAGTCCAAATTATGGTTTAAAAATCTGAGGGAAAAAAATCATCAAACTTCTGGCAAACACTTCACTTAAATGACACAAAAGGTGTTCTGAAATGCACTTGTAGTTTCACCAGGTGAAGACATTTAAGTATTTTTAAGAACAGGACATAAAAGACTATTTGAGCAAATATATTGTAAATTTCATGGGTGTGTTCTGAAGTCTAAAGAATATGATAATAATTCTTCTCATAAGAAAAACTTGCTCTAACTGCATATGTAGATTACTGAATGCACAGAAGTTCTAGAGCAAAGTCTTACTAGTTATTAATGAGAAAGAAGATAAGAGTGTGTCATTATGTAAAAGCTAGCATAAGTGTTCAATGGTCTGTGTTCCCCCATCAGTCCCATTTCCCATCCTTTCCAACTACCAGGAGCTTATACTTGTTTGCTTCTAAAARCAATGCAAAACTGGCTTGCTGTTCCTTTCAGAATGAAACCACCGACCAGCCACCAGRCTGCTGCTTCCACATGTGAACCRTTTTCGAGGCATTTGAAAAACAYCAGCTTTCAGACTGTAATCAGTACTCACTACAGTCCCRAACTTATTAACAGTCCAAAGTATCAAAGCAGCATAGGTTAAGAATAAGAAGAGCAAAACTTGAACATCCTTTCTGTGTAAAACTAGAAGCTAAACAATTTTGGCATATTTAATAYAGAACAGCCTGCAACTCTTGAAATACTGCACTTAACTCTGAACCCTGATAATTGAAGAATAAATAGGTTAAGACATGAAAGTCTATAAATAATCTTGGCTCAAGTAAATTGTGAAGTATGTATTCCCAGTTGTTTAATACAGCTGYGTACTTCTGCCTTGGAGCTGTCTACGAATGCTCCCACTTCTTGAGTTACAGAGCAACCTCATAAAGAAACTTGCAAGTACACAAAAAATTCTTCATTCGCATAGCAGATTTCATTCAAGTTTTGTACCACTTTATACCAAAGAAGAAATCAGTCAAGTGTATGATTTTCAGAATTCAGTGTGGTAAAATATCTCAAAGAACCATCTTTGAGTACACAACTACCTTCCTCCTGACTTGAAGCTTCTGAACTGTCCTCCTTGAAGTGTTCTGCTGTCTTAACCGTCTTCAAAGAGGGTTGTAAGTTACCTGCAGAGAATAAAGTTCATGTAGTAACTTTATAGTTCTTGAACAACTGGACAGCTCCTGAATGTTTGCACTAAACTGGAAGCTWGGGAAAGGGAAGACTGAATTTCCACACTGTTGCATGTGGCAACAATTTGAACATTGCCTCCTTCAAAGCAGGCCATCTCCAAAAGTAAAGGCTCTTTAGAGAAACTTTTATTTTGAAGAAAATAGTGCCCAAAATAATTTTAAAGCTATGGTACAATTTCAAAAGGTCATGATTGTGAAAATTATTAGAGATATTCCTACTATGCTGCACTTCAGATTACAAAGAAAAATCATTTTGTGTTACAACAGGAAATGTGAGGAGACAACAATAACTAGCACTCCTGCAATAAATTACACTCCACCACTGTCCACTCAATCTGCCAAAAGAGACTTAATTTGGGCTAAAGTTTTCTAATGCCCTCAGCACAGTCTTCACACACAATTTTTGCCTTTACATGCCAGATGGGATAAAATATAAATAGAAATAATATTAATAATTTTGTTGCAAAAATACCATTGCTATGCTCTGAAAAGGGACTTAGTTTGGTAATGAATCTAACTCTAAGAGTCTACTTTTCCCCTCTCAAAAAGTTCCAAATTAGTGTCGGTAAAAGTATCTGAAGGCTTCAGAGCTTGAAACGTTGATAAGAAGATCCTTCTGAATATCATTTGCATTGAAGATACTAAATCCCCAGAAATCATGCTCTCTCATGTTGAAATCAAAAGTCTACTCCAAACTGAAAAAGKGTCTAAACAACTGATGCTATGAACCAGAAGGAAGCTAATTGATTTCCTCCTTAATGGAACCATAGTGGCATAATTAAGCTTACTGAATACAGAGTGTGAAGTCCCAACTATTATTTAAGGCATACAGACCTTTCACCAAACATAGAATTCAATTCCACATAGGTTTTGCTAAAGAACTTCGTATTTCTGTGAAAAGATATTTGTATCCCTGACTCTGTATAGAGACTGAAGAGCAATTTAAGGCACAAATGCTTTATCTGTCAATTAATTCTGCAYATTCTATTTGATAACTATGATGAGATTTTTCTTTTTCTCCAACATTGTCATCCCATGCAAGATAGTGTATCTGTAGGCCACTACAGACTAACTTGCAATAACAAGTAGCAGGWTTCCAGGAATCCCAAACAGGAAACCTAGAAAAACACAGAAACCAACAATAAAAAGAAAACTTCACAGGCCACTTAACTGAGGTGATTTTGGAAACATCACATTTTTGTGATTTTTGAATACTTTTGTCTTAGTACAGCTTCTATTAGCCTGCACCACAGGAAATGTGATTGTGAGCTACCCTCATCAAGTCATCCACCCCCATCTCAAGAGAAAAACAACTATGCTTAAATTTGTAACAATAATTCTCTTCACCAAATGTTTTCTTAATATCTAACTCAATGCCAGGGCCTGAGCCATGCCAACAGGYTTTGCAACTCTTCCCTGCTCTCCCAAGGGCTTCACCTGCCCACAGTAAAGATCCAATCTGTTACACTGCAGTTTTGCAATTTGGGGTGACTGCTGGGCAAAGAACCAGCAGATGCCTCCTCCAAGGCCTCCATCCTCTGGCTTGGGAGCCCCATTTAAGCTCAGGCCCTCTCCTGGCAGGCACTGCCAGCACACCTCTGTCTGGACATGTACCTTGCTGATCCTGTTCTTAACCCTGACCTACTGACTTGTTTTTCTGTTTTGACCTCAGACCTGACTCATTACTTTGGACTTGTCTGGTAATCACCAGGTTCGTGCCTGCTCCTGGTCCTATTCTTCCTCATAGCGAGTTAAGCCTAGTGCTTTCAGCCTTATCCATCAGAGAACAGATCATCTTCTTTACATTATGACTTTTTGGTATTTGAAGACTTAAAACCATCTTCCATTTCAGTCTTTCCTCTTTTCTACATAACAATTATGTTCCTCATCCTATSTATCTGTCATACATTCCAGATCTGACAAATACTCATGAACTTTTGCMTACCCAATTATTCATAACTATAAAAATTATCTCACTTTTATGATCACTTCGTAATCTCTAAGATTTACTACAGAATTGACATTTGTCTATTCTACCCTTCTGATCTACCCACCCTGCAGAGCATTTTTGCCCAGTCAACTCTGTCTTGATGGAACATGGCACTGGTTCTTTCTCGAAACCATTTCAAATCATCACCATGTACAACAATGCATTTGCAAGTCCTTCCCAGCTAGATGTGGTCTACAGTCTGAAATATGCACACCCTGTCCAGTGTGCCCATCATTAACATGAATCTTTCTGGACTTTGGAAACACTTTCCTCTCCATGCAGCCTTTCAGTGCAACAGGGGTGTCAATTTTCACAGCAGCAAATTCCAACCAGTTCCACAATCACCCTGATTGTTTCAGTTTAACATTTTTCCCAAAACTGCCACATAGGAATGTTCTAAGTGTTACTAAAAAATGTTACAAAATGACCTACAGCTTCTACTCTAACCACAATGCTTCTATCTCATCATGGAAAGAATAAATCTGCCACAGATCACAYATATAATTTCAAACTAAAGTCAGCTGCCATTCCTCTACTTTTTCGCCAACAAATATGAGCAGTCTGTTTGAAACCTCCAATCTATTAAAWTCCTCACTAAGATCTTCATCAATTTCAGAGGCAGTGGCCTCATAGCCAGTGCCTCAACTGTCACAGTGTATCACATGCACTGAAAGAAGAAAAGATTCAATGGAAACAAAGATCACATCCTAAGGCATCCATACAGAGAAGCCAAGCTTCGGTCACACAAACAGTTTGTAACACACAAGTAGGTTAATCAGGTCACCAAAGAAATCTCTGCRATGCAAATGCTGAAACACAATTCTGTATGTTCTGAAATTAGGGCCATCCCATCATTCATGTACTCAAAACAGATCTTAAGTTAAGTATCAARGCAAATGCTTTATCTACAAAAGCAAACAAAAAACAGATGTGATTTTTTGGGTCAGTTGAAACTTTTTGTTCCAAAATTTAAGAATTTGTGAGAGAATGAAGTGCCAAACTGTTGAGCATACTCAACTCCTAATAGCCTATTTGAAGAGCATGATGGTACAGAGAGGAAAGAAAGAAAAAAAGAACACAAGCTGATGCTACATAGCATRTTCCCCCCGTCAAAAGCATGAGTATCTGTTCAAGCAACTATTCATTGACCAGGCGTTCAAATACAACCAGTGGAATATAACACACCATGAACASAAAATTATAAAACTGCAATTAGGCACAACAGCAAAAATAACTTTTTATAGACTTTTCATTATATAAAACATATTACAGTATTTCTTACTGTGAGTGTGCAAAGATTCTGATGAAATTGATTGGAAGAAGTTGTATACTCTCTGATTCTGCAGAAAAGCTTGTGATGTATTTGAAAATAGCTGCCTGAAATGTAAGTGAGAATTTGTTAAACTAAGTAACAGCATCATAGGAAGAACACAAGAATTTACCACAGTACCATTAAAAAGCGAAATAGACAGTTCTTAAGAAAWCCAAACACTTCAAATTGCACATTCAGAACAAACAATGTTAAAAGCTCCTTTTGAGCTTTGCTGTTAAATGCTAGCATAAGCTTTGAGTACACCCAGTATAAGAAATTGGTATTATGATTTTTAATTTAAAAAGGTTGGTGCTTGTGAATCATCCCAATTCAAATATTTTAGCCCCGGGTACACTTTCTAAAGAGGAGCTTGGACTGAGTCCAAAAGCACTGGACTTAACTTTTTAAACCGAGAACACATTTATTTTCCAAAAACAATGCATCTTGTTCTTGAACAAATTTAAATACAAAGTTGAATTCACCTATCATGTCACTATTTGAATTTCATAATTATCTCCAAAAGCAAACAGTGGGATTGTCAATATTGCTCTGCACCGGTCTTAGTTGCCAAGAGGTCAGTGACAAATTCTATTAGCTTCAGATATGAAAATAGGCCAACAATGAATGGTTTTCMCTTCCCACACACTAAGATTTCAGTTATTACTTGCCAAAAGTTCTATTTCTTTGGAGGAGAAGCAGGGGAGAGCAATTTTTGGCAACTGGGCACATACTGAAACCCCCAAGTAAGTATATATTTATGCTAAAACTGACACTGAAAGAAAATGGAATTTGAATACAGTAATGCTATTCTCTTGAGATTATTCATGTAGCATTCCTGTACAGTCACAACATAACTTGCAAATTCTAATTACAGTTGCTTACTCTAGCACAGCTGGGTATGTTCAAAGGTTATTTTCAAAGTGACTCTCTTGGGTTTGTAATTACTGTGCAGTAACACTTTACAACCTTTCTGTATTACTATACATTCCCTTCAGTCAACCTCTGTTTAACAGGTTTACTGATTCAAAACCGCTATGTTTATTAGCCAAAACTGTTCACACAGATTCATTTTTGGCTTGACAATCAAGCCAATAAAGACAGAAAAATATTACAGATCAAAATGAATTAAAAAACTGGCAAGGGAGTGGTTGAGGCTCAGAGCAGCTCCACRTCATCTTTAACTAAAATATCAGGATAAAATGCTAGAAGCCACAGAATATTATAAGTAGGAGTTTTAAAAGCAGTGCCTGATTCTTCAAGAGACACTGCCTAATATGAYGAATAATTTGTTTTCAATCAGGTTGAACAATCCTGACTGAAAAGGACTAACACAACAAGATATCTGTACCAAACAAAAAGAACAAGTAGGCAAACCCAAATTCATATTACTRCTCTGAGTTACAGAATTTGACCAACATGTCCCACATCCCACCAAGCTCTTTAATCACTAAATAGCAGGTGATGCAGATAGGCCATTTTCCTACAAATACATGAGCTGCTTTTAATTTACACAYGCTTCACTATTACTGTTTATTCCTTTTAAATTCTGTTCTGTCTCTCCCTGCAWCCTGTCATGAAAGTAGAACATATGTGCTCTGAGTTACTGTTTCTAGTATTTCTAAATATATCCTTGTGTAGGGGAGGTAATATCCTTCCAGAAGTGTCAATCATTACTATATTATGCTCSTTAGGACAAATATTTTCCTAATTGTACCATTATTTCCAAAGAGGTAATTCTACTAAGTTTAATAAAAGTCTCAATTTAAAGAAAATCTAAAATAGTCAWGAGTATCTATTTCATCACCACCTTCCCATTTTCTTTGCAAATGGTGTTTAGGTAGCAGAATTTCCACTGTCCATAGAAGACCATCTAACTTGAGTTCAATCACTTTTCTGGTGATACATTTCAGGCTATTTGCTAAAACATTTACCTGATTATGGGCTCAAGATCAGCATGCCTTCGTTCTTCCCTCTTCTGAAAACCCTGATTTAGTGCTCTTAAAATAGTCTTGTCAAATGCTTCAGAAGACAGTTCCTTTGGGAGCTGAGAAAAAGGTTAATGTGAAAAAATGCGTAGTTGACATTTCAAAGACARTATTTTTTCACTATGAGTCTATACTTTTGGAATCAACAAGAAACTCAATTGTTCCAATTTGAGTGATGTAATTTACAGACCTAAGGTACAACAWATCAACACCACCTAGTTTTTCAAGAGAAACATTTTGCTGTAAATCCTCACGGCAAATCCAGGAATAAAACTGTTTAAAGCTCTATCTGATTTACATTCAGAAATCTACCAATACTATGTTCTTTTTCCAGGATAGTTTACAGCCTTTTTTCATTTATTTCTCGAAATCTTTCAGACATAGAAATTATGCCTGAAAATGACAAAAACAAACAAACAAAACCCAGGCAGGACTGAATGCACTGTGCTCACTATCATCACTGAGGTAGAAACTCTTTTAAAGAAACAGCGGAAAAAGGAAACTGTTTCAGTTATATAACATGCTAGACCAGCGAGCAATACTGAGGTCAATCAATAGCAAGTCCCTTGCCAATTGCTATTAACACTGAAACTTCTTATCAAATTCTTACAACTGTTTCCAAGGCCAATACCACAAAGTGAGGTCTTCTGATGCTCTAGTTCAGAAGGCAAACTTCCACTGAAGAGCATGTCTATTTTATATGAAGAATATTTCCCAGAACAAAGATTTTTCACATTTACAACTTCAAAAATATTGTACTTAAGTACATCAGAGCTGATCAAATTTGTTCAACTACTTTTTATTTTCCAAAAGTATTTTAATTTGGGGCAATTAAGAGTAAACTGCCCCTGCAAAAATACTTCCTTTTACTGAAGTTTGAAGCTATTTCTAATGTGGTTAACATCTGTCACCAATTATGATCAATAGCATGAAGTAATTTCCACTAGAGCAGCATCTTCCATTTGTAATCTGGAATACACCGGATCCAGAGTGCCAGCTGGATATTACATCCTGCTCCTGGTACATCAGCCCAGTGCTAAGTAATCCTTGCACTAARTTAAGTCCTACTAACAGAGGGATGCTGTATCTGATGCAGAAATTGCTTGGTAACATACATAAAAGGAACTTCTGGAATCCAGACAGACAGGTGCTGTTAGTATCGTATTAGCACAGCCCTACAGGACCTGAAATGTCTTAGACATCAAACCAGAAAGGGTTAAAAGCAGCTGTTCTTAACAGACCCTTTGGCTTTGGTAAGCCTTACTGAGGAGCTGACTGAAGAATTAGTCAGTATTAGCCAAAAGGTACCAAAAAGCTATTGCAGAAGCATGGTAATGAGCAAACCTCCTATTCTAGTATTTCATACATAGATTTGTCTCTGGAAATAGTCAAATTTTTTCTTTAAAACTTCCATTAAAAGGAATGCAATTCCTTCTGTAGTTAAAGATTCAGTTATAAGAACCCAAGATTAGGTGTTTAGCTTAAGGTAATGAGATAGCCTTGTTACTTACAAGCTTATTAGTCCTTCCACATATGAGGGTRATTTCCTACTTGCAAAGAATTTTTCATGCTTATCATCTAAGAGAAGTCTGTCATCAATCTCAAGCATCCAAGTTATCCTGTTTACTACCTTAGCTTTCCCACCAATGTTTCTATTCTGAAACAATTTTTACTGTTATCTTAGTTCTATCAACATGTAGCATTGGAATTTTCCATCAAGTATTTTGACCATACTTTTCTGTCCCCAGGAAACTGAGCGTACTGTTTAGCAAAACCATGTAGACTGGAACAAGAACATCAAAAAGCAAAAATGCAAGGGCATATGAAGCAGACATTTATACTTAATGTTTTTTAAAGGAAGGTATAAATTCTATTCTGCTTTATTTAACAATTCTCTCTTACATTTACATTCTCTCTTTATTTAACAATTCTACACTTACRGCTAGCAAACCAATATAAACCAAATGTAATTTTCAGCTGTGCACATTTGCCACCAAACATCTCAGCAAGCTCATAGCAGCTTGTGTTTATCTTCATCTTGTTCTGCCATCTCCTAGACATTGCTGAAGCAGTCAAGCCCAGCACATGGAACATCCTACATCAATCAAACAGCACAACTCTGCAACACTCCAGATCATGTCTGTTTTCCGGCTCCCCCTGGATGCAACTASGTTCTAGGAGGTCCATTTCAGACACTGATGTTTGTCTTACATAAGTAGAAGAACAAGAAGCATGCATCTGAGTGCTCATCCCAGAGCTGCACAGGACCCTGGATAAAATGCTGCTTTTAGGGYTCTCTTCAGGTGCAGATGCATGTACCCTATGCTGTGGAATAACCCAACTGCAACTAGGCATGCCATCCATAATTCAAATCCYCACAAATCAAGCTCTGGGAACTCTTAGAACTAGATAGTCCAGCTAGATTAAAACAATTGTGAATGCTCACTGCTTCATTTCTGCAAYGGCAGAAAACAATGTTGATAATTTAAACAGTGAACAAGACAATGACCTTTGTACAATGACTGGCTTTCTGCTCACAATTAACACTGCAGTTAAGAACACCAGATGCCATCAAAACATGTCCAAAACAGATCTCTCATTACTTCCCTGAAAAGGGAAGAGTTTAAGTGTAGATTAATTTCCCAGAGTAGGTGGAACCATTAGACACTGGCAATGAACACAGAGTTCAAAGTCAGCATACTCATGGGGTCTGCACAAGGCCTGTGCACACAAAGATATACCCTGCTTAGAGCAGTGGGGAAAACAACTGAGAGAACTTTTAGATTTTTAAACCATGGACACAMATGCACATATAGTTGCTAGATTTTCCTCAAGTTTAACTCCTTGTGATAACGAATAGGCCTGCCTTGGTTGCACTGAAGAATATAACACTTAAACTAAAAACTTTTATGCTTATGGCTGTGTCTCACTAATTAAAAATAACAAATTATACTCTTTGAGGTCCTTCTAACAGGAACACGAGCAAACGASCAGTGGTTGTACCTAGACATGAGCTCCGTGGGAAATATTAAAAACTCCTCTGGTAGTTTTATGGTAGTTCAATTAAAACTCTAAGAGTTATTTCAGATGAGACAATCTCCTCCTGGGAAACTCCCCAAACATTCTGCAGAGCTGCTTCTTCCGTCGAGGTCCTTCATCACAGTATACATAATTTAAATGATTAATACMACTGTGAAGTACAAAAATCTGCTAGCATGCTTCTGTTTCTGTAATTGCATCTCAGAAATCACAGCTCTCCTAGACTACTTCTGAAGTTATAAACCAGATGTGTAAACACTACTTTTATATTTGAATACATACTTTTAGCAGGAATTCCTGAAGCTCCTGGTGTGTTTTTGTTACACATGTTACTGAAAAATCGGACCAAGTTACCTAGAAGAAAGGAAAAAAGAATGAGGAAAGTTTCTTCGTCCAAATATCATAGTAATTAGCTTGTTAGAATAATTCCAAACATTTGACWATCTCAGAGTTGACACTTAAGCCCACTTCCAGGCTAAAGATTCCAGCAAACACCAGGCAGAACAGGGATAATGCTTTTTCAAATACACATACTAATTTTGTGTGTATATTTTAGGATCATCTTCATATTAYTTGTGGCTAAAGGGAGCATGAACAAATTCAGGGAAATGCAATAAAGACCCATGAAGATTACTGATTCTGAAAGAAGCCCGGCAGAAGGCACYGTCATTATGGGACTTGTATCAAACAGACATCATAAACCACAAAAAATAGGTAACCAGAGAAAAGGACTGTAGGTCAGATATATTGGATTGAGCTCTCACTGTCATTACCAGGAGTCAAAATAAAACAAGAAAATCTCTGTTTATATCACTTATTAAATAATTGCATCTGCCTCAGACTTGAATCTTACACAGTCATATAGAAGTTGTTGTAGGCCACAAGTCAAAAGATACTGCAAGTAACTGAAGCGTTCAAGAATCAGACAATGTTTTGGCATATGCTTGTAAAAAAAATTTCAGTAGTTTACTGTTCTGACATGACATGCAAGTAGTAAAACAACASCTTTACATGCATGTTTTGAGTTAAAAAATAAGTAAGCTTGGTTAGATGAGTGCTGCCCAACCTTAAACCCACTTCCAGGCTAAAGATTCCAGTTAGTTACATRGAAAAATTCTGTGTAATGGGAATGGACATGACAATTATAAACATTTATTTACTAGCAAGAGTTGATAGAATAATGTTAACCACCAACTGCCTTCACCTTAGTCCCCAGAAATGCCAACTACCCTTGGTGCCCTCAGCTGGGAAGGCATGACTGCAACTGCTGTTACRACCTTAAAAAAAAGCAGTGTCTGGACAAGCACAAAATGATTTGCAATGAAGAGCACAGAATGTATCTGCACAAATGAGGAAAGGAAACTCTTTCCTAAAAGAACTGAGGTGGAGTTTCAAGACTACTGAAATACTTCCCAGAATATCTCCACATTTCCCCTTTAACAAGGAAATTCAAAACCACTGTCAAATCTGTCTACATGATGAATCTTTAGAATATTTTTTCACTTTAAATATTGATAATCCATATAGGGATTGTGTACAACTTGTCCCATCTACTATYGTATTTTACCTCATGGTCACTTCAAAGACTATTTGGAAAAAAAAATCTATGAAAAAATCAAGAGTGAAATATTTGGGCAGGTTAACCTTAAAAACTTTGAAGGCTACATTCCACATATTACTGTCCTCAACAAAAAAAGAGTGCATCTTTGTAGCAAATACAATAATAAACTCTGGGATCAACACATCAACTTTCAGCTAAAAATGGCTTTTTTTTTTCAAGTTTGCCTCTTCAAAGACCTCCTGTATGTTAAATGACAAGTTAGAATGTTTGATGTAAACCACTCTTTTTTGGGTGAAAAAGGGGAACATTTAGCTTTATCTCCAAATCTGGTATACTACCAGATTCACATCTTTTGGCAAAATGACTCATAGTGTTAGTCAGCCCTTGTTAAGAAAATGACTACTTTGATTCAATCAGAACATTACCACCAACCACCTCAGCAGCTATTAGCTGCTAGTAGCTAGTAGCTGCCCTTAGCTACTACAATACATCAAGACTACACCAGGTAGGCCTTCCAGTCTGTGGCCATTTTCCAGCTTGTTTGCTTTCACCTTAACAAAACAAGTCCAAAACAAACGAATCAACCTCCAGTTTTCTCAAACAGCACGAGTCACCTTCATATGGTAAAAAACTCACAAAAAAGATGCAAGATGACCCTATGACTCCAAGCAATCTACATCTGCAGACACAACAACTGTGCCATTTAAGCAAATGACTGACTAGTTTTAGAATTCTTATGAATTTGCAAAAGCCAAGTTTCCTGAAGCAATGTCACATACACAGCTATGGCTGATGTTTTACACCTTCCCACCTTATGCTGTCCCACTTCATGCCCGCAATTACATAGAACACCTGATTCACATGCAGAATTCAAAAGAATTACAGGATAATCCAAAGAATCTCAAAATTGCCTCCTGTGCAGGTTTTTGAAATAAGCTATATGTATCTACAGTACATAGATATCATGAAGACAATAATTTTAATATTCTGGAGATTATTTGCTTACTTTGAATGTGTACTCCAAATGTTTGTCAGCCCTTTTTCTTGATACGTCTTTCAGGGTTATCTTCTCAATGTGTACAGCTGAAAGAAAAACACCTTATTGTGCACTCCAAAACTGACAGTTTGCAAATCATTCCCTACTTTCCCAGGCACTCTGAAGATGCCTGTAGGCTATATCCTGACTCACWCAACCCCACTCTTCCTTAGGAGCTGTTTTATTGCAACAAACTGTTGGGAGCAGGTAGAATCTTGCTCTCTCGAAGTATTTCTCTGGCCTAACCACAACCTCTTCAGCGCACATCATGGGAATCTGTGCATTACCCAAGAACGTATTTACAACAAATGTCACATAACTACAACAATATAACCATTAGAAGTGAAAAGACTAGAAAAGGAARTAAAAAACCACAGTGCCTTCTACACCCATGCCTTCTACCCATCGAGTAGCAATGAGGGCAAACTAAGGCCAAATAATCACATTTCTGAAGGGTACTTAAGTGAAAAAAAAAGGATTGGGAAGGCCTGAAGGAGGCAGAAATAAGAGTCAGCAAACAGAAAAGGAAAAAATGAAGCAGAAGGCTACTATAATTGTACTGTAATCCATGTCATTAAACTGAACTGAGAAGGAAGAAAGGTATTGTGAGTACTTGCTACTTTRACATTCCTTCCCCACTGCCTACTGTATTCAGCAATAGGCAAGTTCTGGCTGTGACCTGGCAAACAGCAGCACCATATGGCTTTCAGGGCCTGGAGATTTTCTTGAGGGCCCACAGCATTGCTCAGGTAATACTCTGTACAAAAATCCTTATGTAGCTAAGATGGGCTTTTCATTTTTGCTGCTRTGCTGGCCTAAGAATTCAAGAAAATTTTATACTAGCAAAGAATAAATTCTATGTGCAAGCCTGAGCACATCTTTACACGTAAAAAATAAACTCATTTAAAAGCAGCTCGATCCACCCAACATTATCAATGCTTCCTTTCAATGCTTTAGAAGCTCTCTTTTTTTGGAGGAAGGTGGGTGGTGTTAACAGTTAATGTTTTCCTTTCAATTTTTAACTGCAYGTTTGTATGGAATATACCAGGAACTACTCTTAACAACTGTATTTTTCCGTAAAAAAATTAAGCTTCCTGCAATTGTACGTTATGAAGCTTACTAATGGATATTAACTAATACATAAACATTTTTAATTAATTTTGTTACAGTTACAATTCAAGTCTCATCCCCATCAAACATGCCATTTTTAAGAGAATTAAGTATTGGCAMTTTCCATAAAGGAACAATAAGTCAGAAAATAAGCCCAGTGATAGTGCCACAGCTTCCATTTTTTTAGTAGAGAGATAAATACTGAGTGTGCTGGTGTACTCTGTAATCCTTTAGCTGGGAGTTAGGAAGATAGACAATCACTTCATTTTTACCAGTTAATGAAGATTAATTATTACAAAGGAAAGAAATCTGAGATGRGCTAAGGATGCCAGACAATCATACATCAATATTTTATGAAAAGACAAATGTTTAGTGACCTCAATTTTTACCTCTCTGGTATAGATTAAAGTGCTGTTAGAAGGACCATAGCACAACATTAGTTTTGGTTGGTGCAATACAATTTCTTAATGGCTAATGTTYAAATTGATACTGGAATTCATATTCATAAGTTAATTTAAAAGTTGATTCCCATGACTGAAACTGAGAATAGTAGTTTAAATTGCATTTCACAATATGTATACATTCAGCATACACAATTAGGAAACTAAGACCATTAACATTCACAGACAAGCTTTTTTCCCTAGTGAGATTGCTCTTATTTTAAACTATTGAATGTTCTCAATGCTAAAAATTTGTCCTCAGGTATAAAAAATGTATTGTAATGTAGTAAATGTAGTACYTTCAACTTCCCTAGCTTCTTTCTTCTACATACTTCATCGTAATACAGGATACAACAGGTAACTACACTGTTGTTGCTGCACAGCTTTAGTTCTACAGTTTCAACAGACTCCTTTACAATTCTGTTTCCACAATGACATCTGCAATATTCTAAATTACTAGACTGAGAAAAAATATTTGAATACACAAGCCAATGAGACATGTTACATCTCTATCTCTATTCTGGAAATACCAGATGCATTCAGGATGGTTAAAGTAAGCATGTACACATRACACTGCTTCCATTGTAAGTCTAAGTCAAGATTTTTAAAATTCATATTCATCACAGCTGAAAATAAAAACCAAGTTTTACTATCAGTGGTATTTCTAACCCAATAAGGAGATTTCTGTAGCAGGGACTTGCTACTATGTAACTGTGTAGCAAATATCACAAAGTTATTCTGATCCTTCACTGTGGTTTCTCACTACGATAAYACAAATGCAGAAAAATATTTAAGCTTTTAGTTAGATTAAATTATTCAACTTTTTTGTGCTTCTGTTACTTAATTTGAGAGTGTTACTAAAGAGATTCTCCCTTTTGGGTTTCTAATTCATGAATATGAATACTTGGAACTCCGTAAAAGGATTTGAAACAGGTTTGTTCTTTGTAATCTGCCATAATCTTTCTCTGTGGGTTTTTTTTCAAGGAATCAAAAACTCTCAAGTTGCCTGCCTTCAAAGTGCAGTTAAATCTCCACACAAGAGACAAAATACATTTATGAGTACAAAATGAATAGCAATCATTTTTCCATATTGTTGGCTCCTCATGATCTGCAGACTATCTGTTGACTAATTTTAAGTGTCTGATCTGCAGACTATCTGTTGACTAATTTAACAAGTCACTTGCTAATCCTCTTGAAGAATAAAGGGTAAGAATAAATCTGTTTTCAATAATGCTCATTTCTTCAAAGAGAAGAAAATGAGCTGCCTATTGCATATCAGTTTTGTTTACGCTCAGAAGCCTTATTCTTATTCTCTCCAACAGAGCCAAAAAAAMCAGACTTCTATGAAGCCTTTCACTTCTCCAAACTGCCACTTCCATAAAAACTGCTAATATGTGGTTTTTCTTTGGTTGTTTTCTTTTTAAGATTCATCAAATACWACTGAATCAAGCAGCAAAATCTAYTGACTCGTAAACAATAATTTTCATGTTTAGTTTTGCTTTAAAAATCTAGATACTGTTAATACAATTGCATTAAATGTTCTTGTTTTCTCCCAAATACCACCCCTTTTTCAGTGGGAAGCCCGTTCACAACTAATTTTCATGCATGCACTCACTAGTAGTTAGCAGCTAACACAAATGACAACTTGTTATAACAAAGAAAAGACCAAGTAGGCAGCAGAGAAACTACTATACTTACCAAGCACTGCAGCTTCTCGTTCAGATCAAAAGCAAGAGACATACAAGATGTCTACAACTCAAAGAGTTCAGTGTTAAAAAAAAACYCTTAAGGCCTTCCTCACAAGAAAGCTCAGCCAACATACCTTCTCGCTGAGGTCTATGGGAAGCCATCGGGAGTCCATCATGAGGTGCTGTGGTTCGTTCTAGCAAACTGGTCTCATTACTTGACATGCAGTCACCATGGGAAAAGTCATTCTAAATTTACAAGGAGAAAAAAAAGAAGTRCCTTAGTAGAAAGCCTATTATCAAAGTTTACTCTAAACAGCTTGTATTACAAAAAACCCCACAAACCCACACTTCATTTGGTATTCCACAGGACAAAAACCTGAAGCTCCTGACAGTGGCAAAAAGATGGTCATTAGCCATTTTAGTTCTTACTTTACTTCTGCGTTTATCAAATGTCATCTATAAGCTCCAGTGTTTCACTGATCTTATTTTAAGAATAGAATAGGGTAGGGGGACAGGGTATCTCAGGACGGACAATCCAAGATCATTAGCTCAGAACTTCAGTGATCATTTACTATTAGTATTAACTCTTTCAATAACTAATATGTGAAATCATCTCCMTACATTTTAAATATATTCTCCTCAATTAAATTCAAGCCTTGTATCTTCAGACTGCCACCTCTTCTATATAGGAATCACAGATAACTGCTTGGATAGTCTATGAGGAYGTATAGTCTTGACAGTTAAATCATGCATCTCTTACTAACTAAACATTCAGAACATAAGCAGTTGGCACCAACACCCTCACTTTCATAGAGAAAACGACAGATCAAAAGCTCATCTACCCCCACATTTACACGTTGACTTCAAAATTAAATGCCAAGAACTATTACTGGTTWAATAACAAGAAGGGACAGAACAAGAAATCATATGAGATAGATAACATGGACAGATAAGTAAGAGAAGAAAGAACAATCTAGGCTAACAATGATAAACAAGAAAAGAGCAACAGAATAATATGGACTACAAGTGGTTTCCCTAGGGTAACAAGAGCCTATACRTTTTTTTCAAATTAAGATAAAACATTGATGAATCAATTTACACATTCTTCAATGACCGGGTCTTGTTAAAACAAAAGAAAGCAAATGCATAAACTGATCAACCAAGCTAAAATTCAGAAWTATTTTTAAACATCCAGCAACATTATATGAAACTGCTTCATTCCATGCTCAAGGAAACAAGACATTGCCTTAAAAAGCTACACCCACAAAGAACTAGGAAATACAAGAAATTACTAGCAAGCTTTCGAGGTTTTGGAGTAATCTGTTTTAAGTAAAGTACATTTATTTATCTCTAGTAAGTTGCTTAACATATGAACTGATTAAACAGCAAGTCAGAGGACACTGAATGCACCAGAAATATTTAGGAACTGCATGAAAACTAGAAGGTTCCTYACATTCAGGATGAAGAACACTGCTCTACTGAAAGACCTTCATAAAAGATGGGCAGAAGAAAAATACAAATCTCCAGAGAGTACTCTTTATTTTTAAATGCGGGAAGCATAATTGAGAATAATCATCAGGCAAGACTAGTTACTGTATTTGTTGAAGAGGACCCCCAGACTGTCACAACAGAAAGACCAGAATAAAGAATAAGAATRAATCTGTTTTCAATAATGCTCATGAGAAGGCACACAGGTGGCAAAAGACATCCAAATCCCCTGCCAATTCTTCAACAAACTTCTTCAGATGTGACAGACCAGCTAAAGCTGACTTCATCTTACTTAACCAGCTTTACTCCATCTATGTAKCGTGGGTAGAAACTGTGGCAACTCCTAACAGTATATCCAACACATGCAGTCTCAGGAGGTGTGTCCAGGCATCAAGCTTGTCCTGGGTATGTTGGTAACCTAACTTTGACCAGAGACATCCATAGCAGCACACAGTTAGCAAGTGCCTTTAGAGCGCCCTGCAGATGAGGACCTAAAGGACATTTTAGCTGTTTCATCTAAACCAGTGTATGGTTTGTGCTCCAAACAAAGCATCATTAATATCAGGTTCTGAAACTATCAGATTTAAAGTATAAAGCCTGCTCTGTTTCTTCAAGRTAAAACTTACATTAGTCCCTAGTCACTCAGTAAACTATTTCAGCAAACACCTAATAAATTATGAGAGTAAAATCAGATAYGGAATATGAAAGGAAAAAGCTGTATGTCAATGAGATTGCAATTTTTTAACAGCTTTAGCACATTTTCCAGTTTAGTTTAATAAAAAAAMCCCRAACAAGCCAACACACAAGCATGCTCTGGAGAGAACCACTTTCAGAACTCTTAAAAAAACCCATTGACACTATTTCAACAGACATTTCATAACAACTGTGGACAGAAAAAGTGGAAGTACTTTGGTTTGGTTAACTTCTGATTGAAAAATAATCAAATTTAAAGTCAGACTTTCTTTTGCCATTCAAAGTCAGGATATTTGCTCTGAATAATGGAAAATAAATTACTGCCTGTTCTAAAAAAATAATTGTTTATTAAAAAGTCAAACTGTGAGCATTTTTAGGAGAGATATAGATTTACCTCAAGAAAGTATTCTGTTCAGCTCATGCCAAAGAAACATTAAATACTGCCGCTACACCTCCTAATACTAGAAAACTGCTTCTCACCTAGCACATACATCATCTTTGCAACAGCATYCAAATACTTTGCAGTGAATTATTCTAGAATGGTAATTTTTCTGTCCAGGGCAAGAGTTTGTAACAGGCAATGTACAACTGCATTTGAAGACCCCCTCTAAACTGCAAAATATTACATGTTTCAAACCTTATTTAAATAATTATATAGATGATTATAAAATAATTMTAACAAATTCATCATTTATTCCCTTGAAGAATTATTCACTCCAAGAGTTAACCAGCAATARGCACTGTGCATATTCTGGGGCCACTGGCTTTCACAATAGCTGGTGGAATGCAGACAGTAGACAGTGGGGAAATCCAGGGCAGTCAYAGCTTCACCTTACAGCCTGCAAAGGCTGTCCCTGTGCCAGCTCCAGATCCTGTCTTAAGCTGCATTACAACTCTTCACTTGTGATACTGGCTGCTGTGACAAGGCTACATCAAACTCACAAGTGAATAAAATACAGGTGTCACTATCAGAGCAGGCAACTCCAGCGCACAAGTGACTGGAAAGCCTAGGCAGTCTGAAGGGCCGAAGAATACTAAGAGTGGCATCGTGTGTTGCTTCCTGGTGCCASTCACACCAGGAACACCTTTAAAGCCCAGTACGCTGCAGAGGAAGGTCACGCTGTATAGAACTAACGGTGCTCCTCCTTTCCTGTCAATGAATACAATGTATTCTATGTTCAACTACACACGCAACTGTAAAGTCAACTGTCACATAAGCCTTTGTCACTGTGAAACTTCACTGCAGCTTCCAGTGCTGCTGCTAATGATTAAAATACARTAAAGCAAGAAATGTGGGTGGCCCCAAATAAACTGCCAGATAAYCAATTTGATAATTACACAGATCATTGTGATGGGCTGGAGAATTAATTATATTTCTTCTTGAAAGTGAAATAAGCTAAGAGAGCACCCCAAAAAAATATCTGCTCCTAGATATATAGACCTAGACCAGAATTTTGTATCAAACAAATTTATCATCATAAGGATTAAAGCAATGTACCATGTTAAAAAAAAAACCACCTTATCATCTGAGATGTTTCCAAGGACAGTATCATATAATTATAGAATGTTTTGGGTTGGAAATGACCTTAAAGATCACCTAGTTCCAACCCCTCTGCCACGGGCAGGGACACATTTCACTAGACGGGGTTGCTCAAAGCGCCATCCAACCTGGCTTTGAACACTTCCCRGGACAAGGCAGCCACAACTTCCCTGGGCAACCTGGCCCAGTGTGTCACCTCCCCCCTCACAGCAAAGCATTTCTTCCTAATATCTAGGATATGGTTGGATTTCTAGCCTGCAAGCACACATTCCTGGGGGCCACATTGAGCTTCTCATCAAACCACACTCTCCGGTCCTTCTCCTCAGTGCTTCTCACCATTCTCCACCAAGCCTGTATTTGCGCTCAGGATTGCCCCAACCCACCAGCAGGACCTTGTACTTGGCTAGTTGAACTTCATGAGGTTCACAGAGATTTCCCTCTCAAGCCTGTCAAGGATCCTTCCCCTCCTTCCCGTGTGACAACTGCRCCACACAGCTTAGTGTCATGGGCAAACTTGCTGAGGGTACCCTTGATCCCACTCTCCATGTCACTGACAAAGATGCTGAACAGCGCCAGTCCCAGTACCAGTTCTGAGGAACTMCAGTTGTCACAGGTCTCCGCTTGGAACAGTAAGGCCTTGAAATGCAGAGACAACTCGAGGGCAATCATCCAGCCAATTTCTGATCTACCAAGCGGTCCACCTGTCAAATCTATGTCTCTCCAGTTTAGAGACAAGGCTTTGCACAAGTCCAGGTAGATGATGTCACTTGCTCCTCCTTTATCTATTAACATTATCACCCCAATGCAGAAAGCCATCAAACCTGTCAGACTCTATCTGCTCTTAGCAAAGCCATGTTTGTCACCAAATGCCTCCTTATTTTCCATGTGCCTTAGCATGGTTTCCAGAAAGATCTGTTTCATGATCTTGCTAGGCAGAGGTTAGACTGACCAACTTCTAGTTCCCCAGGTCTTCTTTATTTTTTTTTCCAGTCTTGGGAAACTTCACTAGACTGCCCTGAYTTCTGAAATATGATGGATAGTGGCTTGGACACTTGAACTGTCAGTTACCTCAGGACCTATGGATGCATCTCATCAGGTCCCATTGACTTGAGCACCTTCACATTCCTTAGATGCTCATGAATATGTGCTACAGTTGGTGGTTCTCCACTCTCCTAGATCCTGCCTTTGCTGCTGTGTCTTCAATGGTGTGGGCTGGAGCACCCGATTGTGAAGACTAAGGCAAAACAAGTTTTTGAAGTACCTCGGCCTTCTCCGTTTCCCAGGTGACCAAATCTTTCATTTACTTCTGGAGATGGCTCACAATTTCTCATGTCTTCCTTTTATCACCAATGTCCTTACAGCAGATTTTGCTGTTGCCGCTGACATCCCTGCCTAGATTTAGTTCCAGGGTTTTCTCTTTCCTAACCTGAACCCTGGCTACTCATACAGTTTGTCTCTATTTCTCCCAAGGTATCTGTCACTGCCTTCCATCCTTTGTAGGCTTCCTTTTCATGTTTGAGTTTAT